CTGCATGAGTGTGTTATATGAAGATCTGACATGTATCAGTGTCAGTACTACAGTAAGAGGCCCTGACCACAATCGTGAGCATTTTTTTTTTTTAGGATTTCATGTTTTTGATGGTGGTGATCTTCTACAGCTCTGACAACCACACTTCCACAACACAGAGCAAATGATTCATTAGGACAAAAAAAAAATGGAGAGCTGTTGCCATCTACTGGACAAACTTGGCACAGCTGCATTCAATGTGATGAAAGACAAACTACATTTTCCTCAATAATGCTGTTTTTCTTCCACATTTATATTTTTTTCCTTTGGTTTTGGGTTTTTAACTCAAAGCTTGTTAAAACTTTTTCATCTGCACCATTGCTTTTTTCTTACAAAACAGCATGTCTGCATGCAGTCAGCACAACTTAAGCTTGTCATGCAGGACATGACAAATCCAAATAAAACTGTAAAAAAAAAAAAAACAACAACAACCGTACTTCTGTTTTGTAGATGAAAGTGCTTCTGTTGCCATCTAAGAAGCTCTCTCAGTTCAGAAGTGGACAGGGTGGAGATCTGAGCTTTAAACTGCATTAGATGTTTTGCAAGTTAAGTYCATGCAGATTAAACTCACTCCTTTTCCATTAGAGAGTGGTTAGGGTCTTTGTTTGCCTGGCTCACTGGAGATACATTTTGGTCACATGCATGAAGATATAAATTAGAGGGAAATGACTGGAAATGCTTAATTAATGGGTTAATGGTCCATTGCAGGAAAGTTAAAGTTTGAGACCTCCTCCTCTGTTTAAAGAAAGCTTCTTTGTGGGAAGTGAAAGGTCTTTATCTAGAGCATGTGTGACCCACCTTTTTAACTTAATTTAATATAAAACAGATGTTATATCAATTGTAAGCTTTAAATTTGCAATGCAATGCAACAAAATAAACTAATTTAAAAGGTGGAAGATAGCAATATTTGTCTGGCCCCTGAGCTGTTGTCATTGGATAATGGTCCCCTGAAAAATTTAGTTGAATTGCCCTTAATGTTCTGAACTGTAATTTCATTGTGCTCTGTACAATGGCAATAAAGGTCTATCTTATCTTATCTTATCTTATCTTATCTTATCTTATCTTATCTTATCTTATCTTATCTTATCTTATCTTAGTGTCTCAAATTAAGATGCATTAAAACCAGAATTGACCATAAACTACATCTCCCATAATGCATGTTGAGTATGCACATAAATTCCCTGTCGCAAAGTGGGAGAGTTCAGAATTTTGAGGGTAACTAAAATGCTCATGTGGAAAATGAGTTTGACTCYCCTGATCTTCAGAACAAGTCTAGTCAATTTGTTTAAAAAATACATTAAAAATTGGATTCAAAACTATTAACTCGTGTTTTAAACTCTCCTCTTAAAACAAAGCATTTTGCATAAAACAAAACCACTTCAAGCAAAAATAAAACCAACAAAAAATAACCAAAACAAACAAATATACGGAACACGATGTACACAGATGCAAACTTACTTAGCRTTACAAAATACATGAATTACTCTTGCCTATGATTAGTTAAAAACGACACTTAATTTTCAAAGTCCTTTTAGATTTCTTAAATTTTCTTTTCCCATCATCATCCCTCATGAGAATCTTGAAATGCAAATATAGTAGTAGAAATGTTACTTTTGACATGTTTGCCTATTCTGAGTGGCTGAAATGTCATGTTAAGAGGAAATGTATGTATCACTGACACCTAATTTGTTATAAAACACATAACYTTAGTGAGGAGTGAGTTTGGAATATGGTAAATCAGGCCACAGTTCTGCACAAGAGTGTTGACATGTGAAAAAAAAAATAGGCAGCACTTTAATTTTGCATTTAGTTATTTTATCTTCCTTAGCAATCAATTATATTTTGATATAATACACTTAAATGTATTGTAGGCCTATGCTTTCCGCATAAATTATGCAACCTAGATAAATGCTTATAATGCTTTTGCCGGCACCACCAGTTTTGGTTGTTGTTTTGTTTGTTTTTATTTTGTTTGAAACATGCCACCCAAAAATGCCTGACATAATCATCACTCAGAGAATAAATGAACACATGTTGAAGCGATGAAAGGCTTTCACCGTGCTTTCCAAAATAAAAAGCCCTATTATTTGCATAGGCTACTGTACAGCTGCTGTTTTGCGCGCTAACCTCATATTATGCGGAAAAGCAAGTTAGAACAACCTCTGCTTTTCACTTCCGCACCTCCTCCTTCCCTCAGCTCGACACAATGCGGGACGAGTGTTCTTTGATTCGGCTGTGAAACGACACGAGCCAGGGACTGTATGAAAGCTGTAAACTTTGGAGCATTTAATGATCTGAATAAGAAAACTGAAGAGTCTGAGTTATTCCGGTGTAGTGCGAAATTCGGCTCGCCTGTGTCGGTGCGTTGCGGGCGCATCCAGGCCTACCTGTGCGGACTTGTCGCGCACCCCAAGGTGSTGGAGCGAAGCCCACGTAGGCACACGCCTTTCCGCCCTGCCTCTCTCTCTCTCTCTCTCTTTCTCTCTCCTTCACGGATAAAGCCTCACTCTACAATGTCGGCAAATGAGCGAGTGATCCGAGTCCTGAAAGAGATCCTGCAGAAATCTGGAAACAGCGTGTGCGCAGACTGCGGCGCGAAGGGTAGGCTGAAGAAAAAAACTTTTTATAGATGGAAAATTGATAGCTACGAGGAGTGCTGGATAATCTGTATTTAGGATGAGGCCGAGGGATTACGAAATTGCATGTGAGCCACGAGCGCAGCAGTTAAAAAAAGCAATGTAGTTTTGTTTATACCAGTCATATGACTGTCAAAACCAGTTAGAAGTGACAGCTTACAGAGATTTCTGACTGAAGAAATCATTCTCTTTAGTTTTTTATAGGTTTCACTTAAAGTGAGTGACAAGACAGGAGGAGGAGCTTCTCTCAGGTGAAACTGCTGTTCAGGTGGAAACTTCAACAAGTGGGCTGCAAATTAGTTACCCACTTGATCCATCTGAGCTTAAAACTTGAACTGTAGATTATTAATTAGACTAATTAAAAAAAGTCCCCATTTAGTTAAAAAATAGTTGGGGACATGTTGAATTAGTTCTATTTTGTAAATTGCCACATAATGTAGCTGCAAGTACATAAAAAACCTGCAACTATGTTATACACTTTTAGTTACGGTTGTATTTGTATTTGAAAAAAAAAGTTGTATTTATTTTTGTTCAGTTAAAATGTTTCCATTACTTTTAACGCCTAGCTGGAAAATTATTCTTTGCAGGCTAACTCCTGCTTGATAGCATTTTTGTCTTAGCAATTGTTTTTGAGTTCATTACTTTTGATATCCACATGCTACGGAGCCCGCAAGGGGACACGGGGGGATTTTTTTCCTTTTGCGTTCCCACGCAATACCTTTGCGTTCCCTCGCAATACTTTTGCGTTCCCTCGCAATACTGTTGCGTTCCCTCGCAATATTTTTGCGTTCCCTCACAATACTTTTGTGTTCCCTCACAATACCTTTGCGTTCCCTCACAATACTTTTGCGTTCCCTCACAATACTTTTGTGTTCCCTCGCAATACCTTTGCGTTCCCTCGCAATACTTTTGCGTTCCCTCGCAATACTGTTGCGTTCCCTCGCAATACTTTTGCGTTCCCTCACAATACTTTTGCGTTCTCTCACAATACCTTTGCGTTCCCTCACAATACTTTTGCGTTCCCACGCAATATTTTTGCGTTCCCTCGCAATACTTTTGCGTTCCTTCGCAATATTTTTGCGTTCCCTCGCAATACTGTTGCGTTCCCTCGCAATACTTTTGCGTTCCCTCACAATACTTTTGCGTTCTCTCACAATACCTTTGCGTTCCCTCACAATACTTTTGCGTTCCCACGCAATATTTTTGCGTTCCCTCGCAATACTTTTGCGTTCCCTCGCAATACCTTTGCATTCCCTCGCAATAATTTTGCATTCATTCGCAATAATTTTGCGTTCCCACGCAATACTTTTGCGTTCCCTCGCAATACCTTTGCGTTCCCTCGCAATACTTTTGTATTCCCACGCAATATTGTTTTGCGTTCGCACGCAAAAGATTGTTTTTGTATATGAACTGAATTAAATCAGACTTTTATTTTGAAATATCTGGTTACCAAAACAGGATGTGTCACCACAAGTTCTTGAAACTGACATTGATGTTGCATGGCTGTACTGTGTTAAAATATCGGCATATGTCATACTTCCATGTGTGGTTGTGTAATATATTCATTCTGAAGCTGAATTAAAGCAGTAGGCTAACTCACTAATGGTGAACATGTGAGTTTGTTAATAAACGGGCAGGCACAACGGTGATAAACTACTTTTGCGAGGGAATGCAAAAGGTATTGCGAGGTAAYGCAAAAGTATTGTGAGGTAACGCAATACTATTGCGTGGGAACGCAAAAGAAAAAAAAATCTYCCATGTCCCCTCGCGGGCTCCGTAACATCCCTCTGTTTGTTTCAAACAGGGGTGTCCAARATCCGGCTCACGAGCCATATGCAGCCCTCAGAGGGATTTTGTGTGGCCTGCGACGGCAGTTTAAAGTCATAATAGCTTTCAAAATGTGTAACATATTAGTATACTTTTTTCATTGACATATTGTGTTTACTTGTTACTGAACAATATAAAATAAAGTGTCATAAAATACACTTTCTAATTAAAAAATGGTTTGTGGATCTCAAGTACTCTAAATGTGACAATTATTTGACACTGACCCTGCATCTTTAATGTTGCAATTTGGATTTGAAGCTAATGGTTTTCCCATTTGTTCTAAAAGTTAACAGATTTCTTGATTTCTAAATTTCTATTTCTTATTTTGTGCAATAAAAGTACTAAAGCAAATGCTACATAAAGCCAGAACATTGCCACTAAACTAGAAAAGTTAGTAAATGCATACCCTGGGGATGTGTAACCTTGCCGCGTTATCTCTAATCATGATATGAGGAGCTGAATGGGTGTTGGCTGAATTTCTGTGCCTCAAAGACAACTTTTACTGCCTACCACCAAGGTTCAGCAAACCTGCCTGCTCATATTCAGTTTTTCTGCTTGATCAAAGTGACTTACTTTGTCTTTTTTTTTCCGCCTTGCGAATGAGTTTATTTTATTCTTCTAGTTATTTTCAGACACTATTGTGGAAAATAATAAATTGGATATTAGTATTAACCAGCCAGCCATATCAGAATTCTAATCTGCCCTTTACACTTAAAAAATAAATAAATAAAATAAATGTCCTTTCTGCTTAGGCACTGATAATTTGAACTGATAAGACCAAGAGACACTTTCATGCACACARACCCTGTTTACCCGCATTCTGCCAAGAGGTTGCCAGGAATATAAGAGAGGTGTGGTTAGAACAAAGAAAAGGGTTCTCATTTATTTAGGCTGGGAGAGAGAAAGAAACAGATAAATGAAGTATTTCACCCTTTGTGTAAGAACGGTTCAAGTCAGACTCAATGAATGAAAGGCTTAYATTGATTTATTAAAGGCTTTTTTTCACCAAGACTTGAATTACTTGCTTTCAACTAATGGTTAGAACCAAAAAAATGCTTTTGCAATGATCTTTTGAAACCATGTACTAATTATTTAAAAATATATGAGCCTATTACCTGTAATTTTAATTCAACAACCAATCACATTGTGATTTTTCACACATAAGACATATTATGTCATATGAAATGTAAGTCCTGTTGGATCCCATTTCATTTTTTGACTTTTTTAACTTAAAAATAACTACTAAATGAAAAAGGCTTCAATCTTCTTAATCTAAAACACAGATGTTTGAAACTAAATGTAAGCATTTTTCAGCACACTTTGCCATCACCATCGTTCAATCCARCTTTTTATTCATGTTATTTTCAAACTCTATCTCTCCTCTTGTCCTCGGATCTCTATACCAAGTTTATTTCCTCTGATTTGGCCTCTGCAGGACCTGAGTGGGGATCATGCTCCCTGGGGGTGTTCATCTGCCTGGATTGCTCTGGAATCCACCGTAATTTCCCAGACATCAGCAAAGTCAAGTCAGTGAGACTGTCCCACTGGGAAGACCATGAGATGCAGGTGAGTTTATCGGCTTTATTCAACTTGCTTCAATACACAAGTGTGCACATATTGTACTGTAATGTATGTAGTATCTTTAATGAAACCCTCACTAATGTTGCACATTACTAATTGTGGCCTTATGTCATGACCAAAATTTTTTTTTGTTATTTGTTTGTTTGTTTGTTTGCTTTTCTCCAAAATCAACCTTTAGTAAAATTTAAGAATAATAATATATTTGTTTATTTTATATACACTCTGCATGTTAATGTTGAGGCCATTTATAATTTGTAACCTATGACTGAAAATGTGCATTTGCAACCACAATAAACCGGCCACTTCAGAATGTCATCACTGTAGTCAGTGAAGCAGAGCAATAACCTAAACTCAGAAACACAGAGTAAAAAAAAAAAAACACAACTTTTTTTAACACTTTGGCTTTGATCATTAAAAATTATTGTACATTATATAGGCTTAGAAGCATCTGCATCTTATGCATTTCAAAATAGTGTATTATTATTATTTTTACTTTTGTTCATCCCTGCATTTCCCCCTCTAGTGTACTGGCCTCACAGAAATTAGAAAACAAATTGTTTTCCTTACAAATCTTTATTTACTGGCGGTCTTGGCCCCCATTTTTAGTTCCCTCTAACATCATTAAATGTTTATTTAGAAATTTTGTTCCACATAAGAGATGTGTGCCATGGCTGTAAAACAGCTTATTGCTGGACCAAGCTGTTATTCATCCTCAGATAAGCTGTTAATTTCATGTATGTGTGTGTCCATGTGTGTGTTAGTTCATGGCTGAGAATGGCAACGAGCTAATGAAGAAGAAGTATGAGGCTCATGTTCCAGTCTACTACTACAAACCTACTCACAAAGACTGCCAGTGAGTACCCACAGCTACACACACACAAAGTCATATAGAACTAGAAATGGGTTTTTACGATGTAAAAACAAATGTACATTGCCTTGCTGCATGCCTTTGCCTGCAGCAGTGGATTTGCAGAATGAACTGACCAAGTTGAAATATGTTTTCTTTACCAGCTTGTGCCTGTCGAGTCAGCAGGTGTTTGAAATGAGGGTAACTGTGTGACAATATGAAGTTTGAAGAGATTTTTTGTTAAAGTTGCAGCAAATGGGATTCAAACCCTGATCGCCCACACAAAAGTCCATGGCATCCACCTTGAGACCATTGGAGCTGTGGGAAGGTGCAGTTCCAGTATAATTTTTTTCTGTGTGCAGAAAAAGGCACCATTGCCAATGACAGACGTTGACACAGAACTGCAATATATTACAACAATAAAGCAATATTATGTACGATGTAAATGCTTACAAAACAATATTATTGTAAAACATTGAAATACAAACATTTTAGTATAGTAAACACTGAACTACGGAGATTAAAGATATTATAAAACTATGGTACAGTACAACGTTGAGTAGACACAGCAGAGGGCAGTATTGGACCAACACAAGGCTCCATTGACTCCCAAATTTAATGTATTAAATTTTAATATTTCAAAAACTATAAGTTGTACAGGCACTAAAAGGCATAGCCATCATTTGGCACAGGTGCTTTACAGATATAAATTACAATGGTAGCTCTAGGACAAAGTATGCAGGAGGAGAAGCGTTCCAAAGTGGAGATGATGTTTTTGAAATTGTGCTGTTAGGTCAAGTAGAAGCAGAGTTATGGTAAAAAGTGTACCCCACACTTTATTTTAATAAAAAATATGGTCCTGTTTGATGCGCATAATCATCTTTTATATGACCAAAGCCGAAAGTTATTTGTCCAGCAGCAAAAGATCTACAAAACAAAGGGAAGAATAAAAAGATGCAAGCAGCTCTCAGTAGGTTTGGGAGGGGGACCTGCTCCAGAACCGTGCTTATTGGGCCGACCGAACCAAGCGTCAGTTCTGAGCTCTGGAGAACAGAGAAGGATGTTTATGTTCCAGCCACAGACAACACCTGGACTCCGGGTAGACCCACTTTGCTCTCAAAGTTAATGAAAGTAATAATCTATCATTTTAGCCACATAAGCTTCAGTAAAGAAAAGTAAAGAATCGGAGAAAAATCATAAATTCTAAATGTAAATAATTTATAATCATAGTAAATTAATAATAGTTTTACACCTAAAAACATTTCTATTCTTTTCAGCAGCCTTTTGTTTCGTTACATTTTATTAAAAATATGCCCAAGCTTATTAATGTATGAGAAATCCACATTATTTTTTTAATTCAGTCAGTATTTAATACGGGTGGGTAAATTAATTGTTAAAATATCATGATGTGCTTTAAATTCAGCATATTATTAATGATTATCCCTTCATGTTGTGGAAAAACCCTCTTGATTCAAGAGAAAACTCAGTTTTTTTAAGAAAATGGTCACTGATAAATTCAATCAACGTTAGGTAATTCATTAATTGATAACTTACATCCCTAATATTAATACTAGATGTATATTTATTTAACAAAGTGTAGCAAAGGTTTGTCTCTCTTTTAAGTCTTGACGTTTTTTCCTCCAAAGGCCTCAGTTTTTTCTCTCTGAAATCAGTTTTTAGTTCATCATAAATATCAGCTGTATAGTATACTATATTATTCTATCAGTTTAAAACAGGCCATTTGTGGATTTTAATGAGCAAAATAGTTTATATTTGGAACCAGACTTTTTGAAGCAGTCACAGTGCGAGGGGYGGGGTACACCGTGGACAGGTCGCAAGTCCATCACGTGAAATATAAATTACAGTTTCCACATAGGTTCTGTTTGTTTTGTTGAGTAGTTTGTCTATAAATATCAGTCATGAGGTTTTGAATGTTCAAATATTTTTAGCTACAACAAAGATCCTAAATTGCCCTTTTTAAACATAAAAACCTTCATAATTTGCATGTTGATGCTTGGTGATAAAGGCCTTGTCACACTACTTATGCCAACTTATGAAATATTTTTATGTCTAAATTGCTAATAAAACTTATATGTTTGATCAATTTGTTAGATTTACAGTATTTACATGCCGAAAAGAAGCTTCCAGGTGATTTATTTTTTAATTCCAGCTTCAATGTAGACGTCTTTAAAACGTTCATAAGTTGGGATAAATTGTCTAGTGATAAAGGCCTTGTCACACTACTTATGCCAACTTATGAAATATTTTTATGTCTAAATTGCTAATAAAACTTATATGTTTGATAAATTTGTTAGATTTACAGTATTTACATGCCGAAAAGAAGCTTCCAGTTGATTTATTTTTTAATTCCAGCTTCAATGTAGACGTCTTTAAAACGTTCATAAGTTGGGATAAATTGTCTAGTGTGACAGGACCTTAAAGGTTGACACCGGAATGGTGATTTTACAGTTGTGTTGTTAAATTCAAAATAATATTTAAATTAATATATCACAGGTAACCCTCTGCTCAGAACAAAATTATTAAACTGCATTTTTCTTGATGTGCTTGATAGAGTGACCTCTGCCTTTTTAAATAGTTTTTTGTAGTATTATCAACATACTGTATATGCAAACAAAAAATGTGCGTGTGTGTGTGCGCGTGCGCGCGCGTGTGTGTGTGTGTGTGTGTGTGTTGGTAAATTTCCTATTTTTGCACTCTGGATACGCCCAGGCTTGGTCACATTGTTAGGGCATGTCTGTCTGCGTAGTTTGAAGCCTAGTTTTGGACTCTTAAAAGACTTCAGTACAGCTGCACCACTGCAGCAAAGTTAACATTCTGCTAATCTGTTTACATTGTGTTTCAATGTAATTCAGACTTATATTGGGTGATTTATTTAAAATTTGCTGTCTTTTATCCAGAGTTCTCAGGGAGCAGTGGATTAGAGCCAAGTATGAGAGAAAAGAGTTTTCCGAGCCGGAAAAAGTCCCGGTTTACGAAGAAGGTGAGTATGTAGAAATGCAGTAACATGTTTAAAATAAAGCGCCTTCCCTGCAAATCACTAATATGTACTTGTTTCGATTCTGTAGGAGGTAGAGATGGCATGTTGATGAAGAGAGGGCGGGACAACGGACAGTTCCTGAGCAGGCGATTTGTCCTTTCCGAGAGAGAGGGAACGCTAAAATATTTCACAAAATATGACGTAAGCAGCTGTTAGTGACATTTTTGACAGCTTACACGTAGAGAAAACAATTTATGCACGGTTAGCCCACTTCACAAACACAAACAACTCTAATATCTATGTTGAGCAGTCCTTGAAGACATGAAGTTTATTGCAGACATCTATAATCATGCATATTCAACTATTTTAACTCCATTACATCAGCATTATAAAAAGGTAAATGAGTCTTTGCTTATTAAAATTCAAATTTGTTTTGCACCTTACATTGTCCACAAAGTGTCTTTTAAATAACAGTGTCAGTCTGGTCTAACTGACTTCTTCTAAATCAATTTGTTCCACCTTTTTCTACTGATATTTTATCCCAAGAGTCATTATATTAATTAGCACAACAGAGACAAATGTAATGCGCATTAAATCTCCTTTGAAATAGCCATAGCTGTTTTGTTTTTTTCCCCCCCTCTTATAGTCAGTGACAGAAGAAATATACAAATGTAGAATTTTTTTTTATCATTAAAATTCATATTAGGGCACTAAAACACTACACCCACAAATAATTAGTTTTGGTTCTAAAAATGATAGTTGTCAGTGATGCAGAGGAGTGTATAGATGTTTGTCTTAATTAGTATTTTTTATGGTTTGACAGTCATAAAACATGCAAAAAATAAATATCTGAGCGTAAATATTTGAAAAGAAAACGCTAACTATGATAGTGTACATGGAAAAGTTTCATGTGTCAATTACTTTTTTGTTTTTGTTTTTTCCAAGGATAAGAAATGCTCAGTATGCTTGCACAAACAATTTAACATTACTACATTTGCAGATATATTAGTTCTCCTAACATAAATTATTGGGATACTGAGTAGCACATACAATAAAGCAGGGCTATTCAACAGGTGGCCCGTGGGCTGTATCAAGCCTACAGGTGACTTCCATCTGGTCTGCCTATTTATTTATTTATTTATTTATTTATTTATTTATTTATTTATTTATTTATTTATTTATTTATTTATTTATTTATTTATTTTTACTTATTTGAATGTAAAAAAGATTTCAAATTACTGGCAAATTTTACAATAATAATTTAATGCAACAAAATAAACACATTTGCAAGGTAAAATATAATAATACCCGGTACCTATTCTTTTACATAATGCAGTGTTTCCCCTACCATAATGGGGCAAGCCAACCCACCCCAATGTCTGACCCCTGAGCTTTTGGCTTTGTGTAACTGTGCTCCCCTGAGCTATTTAGCTGAACAACCCTGCACTAAAGGTTCAAATGTTTATGTGGTTTAGGCTCCATTGTGCAAGATTTTGTGTTGTGAAGTTGCAAAGCTGGCAACTGACAGCAACTTATCTTCTTTATGTAGTGTGTGTGGAAAGGGCTACAAAGACTTTTTAATTTCACTGACAACAGAAATAATAAGCAATTATCGATATGACTTTAAAATGTGAAACTGTCATATTACATCCATCAGACTCAAGTTATTGAAAAACATTTTGAAAAACAAACCTATCCCTCGCCCTTACATTTTACACAGTTATCTGTTCATTYTCTGTTCAGGCTAAAGAGCCCAAAGCAGTGATCAAGGTGGACACCATAAATGCAACATTCCAGCCAAAGAAGATCGGAAACCCCAACGGTCTGCAGATCACCTACCTCAAAGACTACAGCACACGTAACATCTTTGTCTAYCATGACAATGGCAAGGTGTGCATCTCCAAACAGTTTTTTGTGTGTGCGTGTGTTGTCATTTGTCTATAAATTATACAGATGTGATCTGTTGTGGGAGAGTCTCTAAACCTTTAGCAGATCATTTGTTTTAGTTTACTGGTAGACTCCATAACCGGATGACATTCAAGCGTCACATTTGTCATTCCCTGTCATTCATAAACACAGTGAGAAGTTCGGATTTCTTCAACAGATTTATTAGTACCGGTTCGAGACTCGAGAGTCTGCGACGGAACCACATCACAGGAGAGTAATTACCTGCCAGTCTACTGCAAAAAAATGTGGATACACGCCAGCTGGCGTGAACATTTAGAGCAAAAGCCCTGTAATTTCTTCTTTGTGTTTCTGGTTTCATCTCAGAGCGCAGTACATCAAAACTGACACGATGACTTTAATTTCCGGACTAAAACATCACAGCTTTAAAAGTCTGAATGAAAGTTTAGATTTGTAACTTTGGTTGTATTTTTCCTAAAAAGATGTAGTCACTTTCTGTTAGAATTTGCCAAATATATTTTATAAATTATTGCTGGAAAATGTTTTAGTTTTTGTCACCAAGATTTATTGAATACTCTAACATAACGTCTTTGTTTTCTTTAGGAGATTGTAGACTGGTTTAATTCAATTCGGGCAGTTCAGCTTCACTACCTAAAGGTGGCTTTCCCTGGGGCAAGTGATGCTGAGGTGAAGACACAAACCTACCAGAATTATGCATTTGGATTCATTTTCTGGCAGGCTAATACTGGAAACAGATCACAACACTGAAAAAATGTATTCTCCTTTCAGCTAGTACCCAGGCTCACTCGGAACTTTCTCAAGGAAGGATACATGGAAAAAACAGGTCCCAGAGTAAGTAAATCTGTACATGCAAACAAGTACATGAACAATGTATCAGTTTCTTTTAAAAGATTTAAATACTTATCTGAACAAACTGTTGTAAAGTAATGAAGCCTGGAAGTTATTTTTATATTTTAATCTTCTGTCTTTTTTTACTGTAAAAAAAGACAAAAAAATAGAAACTGCATTAGGGATCATTTTCCTTTCCTTTTTTTAAAGTGAATTAATGTTTAATTTTAGCTTTGCTAATGCAGATTTATTTAGGGCTGCAGAAATATTTTCATTTAAAAGAGATATATCATGATTTTAAATCATTTTTCACATTTTTAAAGTGAAACTGTGATGCTTTGGTCTAAATACCTGCTTATTTTAACTCCACAAGCCCCTCTTTCACCCATTTTCTGAGATGTGTCTCAGATCAACTCGTTTTGAGGCTGTCTCTTAAAATGTAAACTACTGTAGGTGCCCCCCACCCCCCGGTTCCAGAGCGGTTCATTCCAGTTTGATAGAGGGGTTTCTGACTATATAGCGGCACGTAAATGTTTTATTTACAAACTGAATAAAATATGTTAACAACAGAAGACTTGTCCATCCAACCTAATATGTTGGAGCCAGAGTCTGACCCAGAACCAGAGAAGAATGATAATGTCTCAATTGTAGTTAGTAAATCGAGATGTTCTGTCACAAATAATTTAACATAATAGTCCAGAAAATGTCATAAAAAATAGAGAAAACTGAACGATCAAAAAAATGACCCAAACAGAATATTAAGATATTTATGCAGGACCAGGAGAGACTCCATTTAACTTTTCCACACTCCTAAACACTCCAAATACACAAYAAAATGCATTTAATGGTTTAAAAAAAGGATTTTGCATGTGTCCCCTTTGAAGTCAATCAAGTGTGTCTTTTTTAGTGTTTGTGTACTCAATAATTCTGAACTTCGTGAATTTGACTATGGTTGCTTTTGAAAAAAACAACTTTTTTTTAATGTCTGGAAGACAGAAAATGCAGAGCCAGTTGAGGTAAACATTTTACATTGCAAATGTTTTTAATCTATCAGGAATTCTTGCTGTTTGAGACTACAAGAGGAAATGAKTATGGTTTTCCTTGCAATTTTCAGTCACGTTTGCATTGCTTACTACTCTGCAGCATTTACAGCCCAGTGAATTACTTATTTTAAAAGCAACAAAGACACTTTTTGTTTATTATTACTATATTACATAGAAGTTAGTTTTAATAAGCTGGACATTTACATATCTTCCTTTAATTCCAAATGACTCTATGTTTTTAACTGGGAGATGTAGGGTTAGGCTGCTAAGTTATCAGCAACTAAGATCTCACTGACAGGTTGATTGACAGCTGAATGTACCCACTGTACCTGCTTACCTCCATTTAACCTTCATTCGGTACATCTGAAAGAGTAAACACAAAAGTCAAATGTGCAGTGTAGTTAATATTAATCAGCAGTTGTAAAATATTGTGTTGTCTTTCAACTCTGTCAGCCTGACACAGGTCTTGAACTGGACAGGGATACCTGAAACCTGATTGGACAAAAATGACTACTTCTAATGTGTTCTTCAATATTCTGCTCCAGATCCTGTGTCTACATTCATAAACTTCACTTTCTGCCTGTGTCTTTGTGTTTGTCTCCACAGCAAACAGAAGGGTTCAAGAAACGCTGGTTCACACTGGATCACAGACGACTCATGTACTTCAAAGATCCACTGGTAGGATGTCTCTAAATAGTACTGTGGAAAGTGCAGGGAGAAGGCAAGCATTTATGATGAAGTGCATAATGTTGTGGCTTAGGTGGTAGAGCTGTTGCCTCTCAGCAAGAAGGTCCCTCGATCGAATCCCGGTCCGGGGATCTTTCTGGGGAGAGTTTGCATGTTCTCTCCATACATGGGTGGGTTTTCTCCAGGTACTCCGGCTTCCTCCTACAGACCAAAAACATGACTGTTAATTGGTAACTCTAAATTATCTCTGGTGTGAGTGAGAGAGAGTGAAAGGTCGTCTGTCTCGTGTGTCACTGTGTGACCCTGTGATGACTTGCGACCTGTCCGGGGTGTACCCCGCCCCTCGCACAGTGACTTCTGGATATGGGTACTAGTGACCCCCATGACTTTGAAAGGAAAGAAGCAGGTATAGAAAATGGTTTGATGGATAAATAATGTTGGTAATATAAAATTTCCTTGACTCAGTGTTGAGAGGGTAATATAGAATTTTTCATTTGCAACTTTACGCAGTTATAGTATTTCCTACCTTGAAGCCAAAAGGCTTCTAATGAGAAAACCAAATTGCAATAAATTWTACTGACATTGCTATAGAAATAAAGTGCAGACTTTTGAAATTTCAATCTATTAAGAGGTGTAGATGATTAAGGAAATTCTGAATCAGTAAAAAAGGGGGTTTTACCTAAGGGACTTTTGGTGAAGTCTTTAAAAGGAGGCAGCTGAGATTGCTTTAGTCTTAGCTAACATTGATTCTGATGTAATAGTCTTAGCTAACATTGATTCTGATGTAACAGATGAAGGGAGAGATGCAATAGTTAAAGGTACTAAATGACTGAAAGTTCAGACTTCGCCTCAGAGAGTTGGACTAGGAAAACTGAACCAAGAGAGAAACAGGAAGTCTTGTGAAGTTGAGTGTTATGGGGATATATGGAGGATGCGGCTCAATGAAAAGTAATCTGATAACTTACGTAATAGCTAATTTATGTCTTGACTATTAAATGTGAACTCTAAAATGAAGCTTACTAAAATTAAACAGAAAAAAAACTGTGGATGCCTTTTTTAACTCTTGGTTTTGGCGCCATAAAACAGTGGGGTGTATCGAGGTGTAGAACTCATACTATGGTCCAAAGTCCAGAGAGGAAGCAGCAGACAGGAAAAGCTTAAACTCCCAGTTAGAACTGAACATAGTCTCATTTCAGAACAAAGAAGAAACTGACAGAAACATGGCACGTTGACAACAAAGAAAGCACAAATAAAACAAGGAACCACAGTATATATACTGAAACAAGTGATTATGAACAGGCTGCAGGTGAACCAATTACAAACAGAAACTTGGTGTAACAAGAAGACGGGAAGAMAAACCAAAGTTTCAGGAGATTTACTGAAACTAAATTGTGAAGTAAGAACAGCTCAGGAATACAAATTTCCAGTATGGATAAAGTAAACCTTTAAGAGGTATAGAATGTTTTATTTTTCTGGTTTTAATAATTGACAAGCTGAAGCAAAGCACAGCTGGGGCTGATGGGAAGTGACAGAGGAACAGTATGTTGCCATGACATTCAGCATACGTAAAAAATAAAAACAGACAACGGTAGCAGAAACATTAATGTCTCTGGAACCAATGATTTTATTGTATTTTTTATTTATTTAAAAAAATCTGTAATTTGTTTCTGTAAAATGGTCTACAGTTACTTCAGTTGTTGATTTATAAGTTTACTTTATATTTACTTGTGATTTAATGCTAAATATGCTATTAGCAATCCTTTTTTTAAAGTTAATCTGTTTTATTTGGAACTGCAGACGCCAAACATCATGTTTCAAAACTGCACATCATATTAAGTTGTAACATGACTGAATGTGATTTTTCCTGTGTTTGAAGGATGCGTTTGCTAAAGGTGAAGTGTTCTTAGGGAACGGGGACCTTGGCTACCTTGCGTTTGCTGGTTTGCCCTCTGGCATCCACTGCAATGGTAACTGGCAATATGGCATCACAATAAAAACACCTGAGCGCTGCTTCCTGTTTACCTGTGAGACAGAGGGCGACCAGCAGGAATGGCTGAAACATTTCAATGATGTCATGAGTACTACGATGTCCCCTCAGGAGTACACAAGTAAGAATTCAGAATTTTCACATGGTTATTTATTAGTTTTTAGTGGTTTCATCTACCCATCAATTATTTTGTCCATTTTTGTCCATTTGGGCATTATTTTAATACTAAAAGGAATTTAAAATATTAAAAAAACACATTGATTCATCAACAGAATCAGGTGTAGAAC